GCCGACTTGCTGAGGCAGATGCTTGCCGCCGACTCGCCGCTCGTCCCCCGCCATCTCCTTCCGCAGCACGTCTCTCCGCGCGTACTCTGCGACTTTCTCAAGGAGGAGCAGCGCCGTGTGAGGCCGGCCAAGCTCCGTTCGCTGGGCTCGATTGCCCTCGTCTCCGCGCTCCTCCGTTTCGTGCTCCCCGAGCCGGTCGTGCCTAAGGAGAAGGACGCCGCCCCGCCTCCGGTGGACTTGGGCATACTGGAGGGCGTGCCGCTGCTTGTCCTCAACGACGAGTCCATCGTCGAGTTCGGCGACGCGACGTGCTTCTGGAACGACGCGGCGCCGCTTCTGCCCGTCGCTCTTGGCTCGCCCATTGACGTGTCCACGACATGTCTACGACACGTCCCATAGGCGCTGCTGCTGCCTCACGCCCCCAAGCTGTGCGTGCACGAGAAGATCTCAAGAGACTTGCGCACCGCGAGCCGGTCAATCGAGCGCGTCAAGGAGGCGTGCGATCGCCTTGGCATCCGCAAGCTGCGCACCGCGGACCTGGCGGAGCACAGGGAGAAGATCCACGAGGAGCGCTGCTACGAGTCTGACGAGTGGCTTGGCGCATTTTGGACGTTCCTCAAGGGGCAGGAGGTCCGTCGCGCGCACCTCGAGACGTTTGCGAGCTGGCACGTGCTCAAGGTCGAGCGCTTTGGCGATGCGGCCGACCTGAGCTACATTCCGCTGGGCGAGGCGGGGGCGACCTTCGACCTGCACGCAGTCGATAGTGACTGGCAGGGCGACGTGCGCCACCTTCTGACGGACTGCCGAGTGCACGTCCCGCACGCTGGCCTGCTCGAGGACAACACGCTGCTGCAGGCGTTGGTCCCGAGGGGCGACGACAAGCTGGTGTCGCTGCTTGCCGAGAAGCTGGAGCAGCTCGGTGACCACTTCAGCGCAAGGATGCGCGAGGCCGTGCTCAAGTACTTTGCGATGCGCCGGCAGAACTCGGGCATCGTGCTCAGCACGCTGCGCAAGATGCCCCTGTTCCTCCGCGCCAATCCCACGGCGACTGAGCGCTCGCTGCGCAGCGCGGGCGAGCCGAGCGTTGGCTCGCGCTTCGTCCCTCTCGACTTGAGCGGCGTCCGGTACTACCACCTGTACGACACGAAGCACACGAAGCACAAGCACGCCGGCAACCTCATGCAGCTCCGGCTGCCCGGCTGCTGCTTCCTCGCGATGGATAGCCACCAGACTGGTTTCCAGGAGTTGTACAAGAGCTTGGGCGTCTACTCTGTGGACACGCTCACCTTTGTGACCGAGACGCTGCCGGGCAAGCTCGCCTCGGCCCTCGGTGGTCGAGAGAGCGAGGCGGAGGCGAACCGCGTGTTGGAAGAGCTGACGGCGTGGGTGGTGGACGAGGATGAGCTCAACAGAAAGAGGGTGGCCGACGCCGTGAAGAAGGTTGCCTTCGTGCCGTGCGTGGATGGCGAGCGCAGGCCCAGGCCCGCGAGGGATCTGGTTGACGCGGACGCCCCCGTCGCAAAGGCCTTCGCGGCCGACCTTCAGCACGCTCTGCCGGAGCCGCGCTTCTTCCAGGCGCACCGGAAGATGCTCAAGGGCCTCGGGATGCGGTCATACCTCAGACCCGCCGAGCTCAAGCTTTGCGCCGATCGCCTCGCCGCTTCAGTCGACCCCCTCTCGGAGGAGACCACGAAACAAAGCTTCTGGCTCGTCGAAGCCCTCGCCTCGAATCTGCTGTTTGTGTTCAACAAGGTCGACCCGGCGAAGCGCAAGCCGAGCTCTGATGTGCTGGCAGCTGCGCGCGGACGGGTGCTGCTCACCACGGGCCCGCCCACGGCAGAGCAGCTCCAGGACTACGTGCAGCGTAAGGCGAGCAAGCAGGATGCCGTCGCACAGCCCTTCGCGCTGTCGACCTTCGCTCAGACGCTCGTCCCCGCATGCCAGACCCGCGCGTGGTCGTGCTTTCCCGCCTCAGCGCACGACGACGCCGCGCGACTCTTCTTGCGCAGGTCCGATGACGCCGGCAAGGTGTCGGTGGGACCCACCAAGCTGTCGGAGGTCGTTCAAAAGCACGGCAGCGACCTGGAGAAGCACCTAAACTTCAAGACCTCCGTGCCGCTCGAGACAATGGCGCGGCACCTAGCCAATCTCTCTCGCGCCGTCTGCGCGTCGCCGCTGGACGGGATGTACCAGGCGTATTCGCCGCTCGACGATGAGATCAAGTGCCTTCTTGACCGGATGGACTCGGCCGTCAGGTCACCCTTCAGGCCGGCAGAGGGGTTCGCCTTCTTGAGGGCGTACTCGGACGTTCCGTGCCTTCCGCAGCGTCTCGACAACTCCGATAGCGCCATCGCCTCCGCCGCCAGCTCGGACGCCCCGCCCTACCTTCTACACGTGAAGCTCGTGGCGCCTTCAAAGGTCTTCTGGTCGCTGCCGACGGAGGAGACCGCGCCACAAGAGGCGCTTTACAAGGCGTCTTATCTGCTGCTCACCCGACGGGAGATCGCCACAGCCATGGGCGTGCGAGAGGAGCCCGGCATCGCCGACTGGGCCGCATGCACGCGCGACGTGCTCGAGGCATCGCGAAAGGAGGGAGGGGACAGCGTTCTGCTGCCAGCCGAAAAGGCGGCGATCATCGCGGCCGCCGCTGGCATCGGTGGCACAAAAGATCGACCGCCGTCCGCCATCGAAGTCTTCCTCCTCGACGACGGCGACTCGCCCGGCCTCTACTCGTCCTCCAGCCTGATCTTCGCCGATCGCCCGTCGCTGCAGCGCCGCTGCGCGTCCTTCATGGAGCAGCAACAGCTGCGCTTCGTCAACAATGAGCTTGTCCGTGACCACGGCCACACGCTCGTCCAACACACCACTCTGCGCAAGTTGAGCGACCTCGTGGTCGAGGCCGTGGCCCCGGGCGCAACGACCAGTCTCCCGGACGAGCAGATCAACGACTTCGATCGGCGGCTGGCCGTGCTGATCGCGTCGAAGGAGTTTGCTGGCGCGTACGTCGCCCTCTGCAACGGCGGCAAGATGCCGCAACGTCCGCTGGCTGATGCGATGGAGAGGTTGAGTGGGCTGGAGATCCGGTGGCTCGCGGGCGTCGAGAGCGTGCTGAGGCTCGTCGAGGGCGGCGGCGAGCTCGAAGGCAGTCGGGGGCCGTCGCATGCCATCCTCGACGGTACGGCGCTCCTGTGGCTTGGCGCGGGCGTGCTCGGAGGCCAAGCCGAGGAGGCCTTCCTGCGCGACCTCGCCACTAAGCTGATGCAGCTTCTGAGCTCTTGCGGAGTGCTGCAGCTCTACCACTTGGTGGATGTGCTCAAGTGCTGGCCTGACGGGCCGCGCACGATTCAGCGGAAGCTGGCGGAGCTCGATGTGCGAGCGGAGACGCAGCGGCTGCAGGAGGAGCCGGGCGAGCTGGTTCCTCCCTCGTTCCGCGACTACTTCGACAACTCGCTCCACTGCCAGTTCACGAGGGGGGAACTGGTGGCGGTGGAGCGCTTCGAGAGCGACGCCGCGAAAAGCACGTGCACGTTCGCGCAGTTCCGCGGCGAGGCTGCGGATGAGGAGGGCGGTGGCCAGCTCTCGCGGCGATATCTGCTGTGGTGCGGCGACAGGAAGCAGGACGGTGCCGAGGAGCTCACGCCGCACTCGCACCTCCGGGTGTTTAAGATCACGCGCAAGCCGGCCAAAGCACTGCACGTCCTTCCTCCACCGAACCAGCCAAGTACGCTGGCCGCGGGCTCCTCCGCCGCAGCCTCGGCCAGCTCGCAGGCGCCAGAGCAGCCGAGCGGCAGCGACGAGTTCTCTCAGCTAGTGGCGTCGCTCACCGAGATGCGCCACCTGCCCACGCAAGAGTGCAAGCTCGCGGCACGGCGGCTCTTCCTCACGTGGCACCCCGACCGCTGCCGCGCGCCGCACGCCGTCCGCTTCTTCCGCATCGCGCGCCGCTTCGCGTGCCTCATGGAGGAGGGCCAGCGCGACGAGGCGGAGGCCTTCGTCGCCAGCCTGCTGCCCGGCGCCGAGGAGCCGGATCGAAGCCAGGGCTACGAGGAGGTGTCGCCTCACACCTGGTTTGCGGCCTTCGAGGAGGAGGAGCGCTCGCGGCAGCAAACGGCAGCGGCGGACGCGGCGGCGGCGGCGGCGGCGGCGGCGGCGGCGGCGGAGGGTGGCGGCGGCGCCGCCACACCCGCCGGCGCTGCGGCGCAAGGGCGAGGCCCCGGCGGCGCCGGCTTCTTTCATGGCGGCGGTCGTCAAGGCGGCGCTGTAAGTGCGGGTCCGCCACGGCTCAAATGCAACGCGCTCGGCGACGTCGAGTGGCAGAGCGCGCAGCAGGAGCTGCATGTGGCGCGGCTGCTCCTCGAGGCGCAGCAGTGGGCGGCGAGCGTCTTCCACGCGCAGCAGGCGGTGGAGCACGTCATCAAGGCGGCGATGCTGCGCACGTGCGGCGTCACCGGAGACGAGTTCCGCGGCGGCGAGGGCCACTCGCTCACATCACTGCTCCAGCGCACCGGCCTCACCTCTCCGGTGGCGACCGAAGAGCTGCAGCGCCTCTCCACGGCCTATCTCGCCACTCGCTACGCGCCATTCCCTCCGCCCGCCGCCCCGTCGGTGCCGTACGCAGCCTATACCTCGCACGACGCCGAGGATGGGGTGGCCGTCGCCTCGATAATGGTGGAGTGGGGGCGCAACACGGAGCAGGTCGAGCCCTCGCTCTCTCAGGCGGGGCCGTGAATAGCTCTTACGTCAGTACGAAGGTCGTACGATCTCACGGTTGGGCTCTTCTTTGGTCTGTCGGCATCACGCTCCACTCGTCTACGTTCATCGTTCATGACATGACATGATGTCTAAATCATGAATGCAATAATCGCGCTCCCAGAGAGACGGTGCTCGGTGGTGTGTACGCGTACATCGCATATGCGCTCGCCCGCCCCCGCCCTGGCTTCTTTCTCTAACTCTAATGTTTCGTGATTTTTGGCGCAAGGAGACATTTTTTCATGCATGCTCTAGAGACCGTCACGTGATATACCACCTCGTCTCTGATGGCCCATCCCGTCCCACACGCGCCGCACCACGGCGGCGGCGCTCTCGGCGGCGCGCGCCTTGGCCACGAGGTAGTCCTCCTCCGCGCCGCCCGCGCCTCGGTCGCAAGGGCCGGCCGGTGACGCACATGCACATCGCCTCTCGACGCACATCTCGGCATCTCTCAGCGGCACCGGGGCGGAGCCGGTCGGCCGTCGTCCGCAGCGCCGCCCACGGCAGCGAATGCCTGGTGGCGGCCTGCACGATGCCGGCCGCCTCCATGTCCACCATCAGGGCGCCGCCGCCGTCGCAGTCGGCGAGGGCGGCCTTGCGCTCCGCGGTGACAAACTCGTCGCCCGAGAGCAGCGTCCCTTCCGTGAAGACCACGCGCCCGCGCAGCGCGCCGCGCACGAACGCGAGCGCGGCCTGCGGCAGCGCGGGTGGGGCAGAGCAGGGAGGTGCGGGCGGCATCTCCGCGTCGAGAGGTCGGGTAAGGAGAGAGCGGGAGAGGCGACGGGTCTCGGTGTGGATATGCGTCAGGGGCGCGTCCCGCACCGCCGGCGCGTCGAACCCAGGGTCGCGCTTGTCGCGGTGCGGGTCGGAGAGCCAGAGCTCACCCGGCCGCATCAGCGCGCCGCCGCAGCGCGTGTCGTGCTTGACCACACGCGAGGCGAGCACCAGGTCGCCAGGCGCGAGGGAGGCAGCCAGCGCGCCGCCGACGCCGAGGGAGAGGACGAGCTCCGGCCGCGGCGCTAGCGAGAGCACCGCCTCTTGCGCCGCGAGCGCGCCCATCACCGGCCCGATACCCGACTGCACGACCCACACCGTCCGCTCGCCGTCGGCAAACTGGTGAAAGATGGACGGACCGCCGCCCTCTGACGCCTCGCCACAGCTCTGCCGCCGCTCGAGTGGCAGCCGAAGGACAGCCTGGAGCTCAACGTCCATCGCGACGACGACGAGGACGCACGACGGGGCGTTGTCGTGAGAGCTCATATATGTGCATGCACATGAGAGCAAAATAAATAAATAAATAAATAATAGAGCAAAAATGCGGCATTCGCTGCGGGTGTGAATTTCTTTTCACCCTACTGTGAATCCCAAGGGCTCGCACCTTAACCTCTCACAGACCAGCGCCATAGGACGTATTTTCTTCTCATAACAAGGCTGTGAAAGGAGCTCCGCAACTCGTGATCCCTCGAGTTCACGCGGAGTCGGCTGGGGCTATACCAGATAGCGGCAGTCGAAGAAGAATTCTACAAGCCTCTCTCACAGCACACTGGCACGACAAGGGCGCGGACTGGCGCGGACTGGCACACACACCGGCTCACGAAGAAGAAAGCCCCCCCCCCTCCCCCCCCCCCGACCGACCGCGTCGAACTCACAGCGCGGCCTCTCTCGGCTACGGGACCGGCCCCAGCTTCGGCTGAGGGCTGACAAGCATCAAGCTGCCGAGCCCAAATCACTGCAGTCGTGATGAACGTGGTTCATGGTGGGTGCTACTTGTACTTGTAACCACGATCGATGCGAGGACGCAAGTCCACGCCAAACTCGGCCATTCCAACGGCCAGGCCGCTCGCTTAAGGCTGATTACCACCCTCGCCCAGGGATCTACAACGCTGTCTCAAGGTCCGACAGGTTCGGCACCGGGCACGGCCTCGGTATACAAAACGCGCCTGCGGGCGGACCCTCTCACAGATCACAGATCACTGCAGTCGTGAGTGTGGGAAAACAAAAAGAAAAATCTGTATGTTCTTCATTCTTGGTGTACCTGTGTTAGTGCCAGTGCGCGCCAGTCCCATCCCCAGTGTCGTGCGAGCAGCGGGCGTAAATTCTTCATTGATTGTTCATTCCCTTCGCGGGTGTTCGTGTTGACACGTCGTGGTGACGATGATGGCGAGGAGCATCACGGTGGAGAGGAGCGTCCCGGCGCTGCCTGGGCTCGCTCGAGTTAGCTGGTGTGGGCATGGGCGTCGGCACGTGCGGGCATCGGGCGACGAGCACGGCAAAAATCCCGGCAAGATTTCTTCATTCCCGTTGTTGGGCATTTTCCCGGGTTGTTGCGGGCGGCGCCAGCACAAGCACAACCATTTATGACAACCGTGGCCACGGTCGAGCGGCTCGCCGAGGCGGGAGACTGGACGGCGCTTGTCTCGACGTGCGAGGACGCGGAGCTCGATTTGGTGCACGACGACCTCGAAGCTGCCGCCTCTGCGCAGCTGTACGCAGCGCAGCTTCTTGGCCACCTGCTGCTGCGTGAGCTCGAGGCGGCGCGCTTCGTGTGGAAGCGCGCCCCGGCGGCGGCACAGGCGCACGCGGAGGTGTCCGGCGCCTGGGCCGTCGGCAAGGCGCTCTGGCGCCGCGACACCACTGCGGCGCGTGCGGCGCTCACAGCCGGCTCGTGGACGAGCAAGGCGGCCTCGACTCTTGCAAGTGCACTCGAGCGGCGGGTGGAGGAGGAGGAGTGGGACACCATCGCCCGCGCCTTCACCGTCGTCTCCCCCGAGACGCTCGCCGCCCGTCTCGGTCTCTCGGCCGCCGCCGCCGCCGCGGCGGCGCAGCAGCGCGGCTGGCGCCTCGAGGAAGGCACGTACCGTCCGGTGGCGCCGCCCCCTGCGACCAAGCCCGGGCCGGGCGAGGATGCACTCGCGCAGCTGACCGAGTACGTGGCTCACCTCACGGCTGAAGTGGGCGCGGCCTGAGCGCTCTCGACTTGCCGGCGGGCGGGGAGCGCAGGATGGAAGCCGGTCTTGGGGGAAGGGGAAGGGGGGGGGGGGGGGGAGGGGAAGCGAATGAAAACCCCTCGGACCGGCGCGGCGTACGGGCGCTACGTACGTACCCAGCAGGGTGGTCCGATCCACACCTCTCGACGTCTCGGTCGGTGGGTGATTGGGAGATCTCGCGCATCATGATTGTCCGCGCAACGACCAGCGACCA